AAAGGATTAATGGGAGAATAATGAAAATAATACTAATGAATTAGGGATTATAGAAGGTTTTTCATTATGCAAAATTTTTTATGCTTTAAGTCAACATTGGAAGTCATCAGATTTTGAGAAGGGAAAGGATATGTTAGAAAAGTTTGATGTGACAAAATGGTTAGATGGATCACAGACCAGAAGTCTTAGTGAGAGGGTGTTGCTACAGGTCAGGTTCAGATAGTCAACAGCCTGAATTCTAGTAATGACACAGGAAAAGAAAGGAGGGTTTAAAAGAATATGAAAGAAGAACCAGGGCGATTGATTGGAATGGAAAAGACTTGATGAATGACTGGGTTTGGAGAATGAGGAAACAAGAAACTAAAAAGGACTGAGGTGTGGAGCCTATAAGAACAAGCAATAATATGGACACTTCAGAATAAAATACAATAAGTTCTATTGTAGACCACAAACAAAATCTTAATTGGGAATAATCTTCTGTCTCAATGGTGAAATTAACTAATTCATAAAAATGATGGTCTAGTTTTAAAAGAGCTAATATTATTTGAATGTCTGTCTTGAACCAAGAACTATATGGAGTGGTAATATAGTTTATCCTTTTTAATACTCACTATAACTGTTTAATGTAGGTATATAGTGATTATCCATATTTTACAGATCAGAAAATTGAAATTGAGAGAGATTAGTGGGAGGGAACCCACTACTTTTTAGAATCTGCCTATTATTTTTTTGTTGGTACAACTCTAATTTTAAAAAATTCTTCTGGAACTTTGTTTTTCTATAACTTTGTCATTAGTTCTTCTGTGAAGTAACTAAATGGTGCCATATCCTCTTCCCTCTTCCCAGCCCTCAAGGCTCTTCACATATTTTAGGACCTTTATGTCTTTTATCATCTCTTCTGATGACTAAGCATCCTAACTTCAACATGTCCTCTTATAATGTAAGTCTTGTACTAGTTCCCTTCCTTGGATTCACTTTAATTGGTCACTGCCTCTCCTGAAAAATGTTGTGCCCAGAATAAATTAGTGTTCCTGGTATGGTTTGACCAATGTAGGATTCAGGGCAACTATTTCTTCTACATATACAAGTATTTTATATGTTGATATGTTGATAATTAAAGGGCTTCTCAGCTGAAATTTTTAACCAGAATTTGGAAATTTATCATTGTTGCTCTTTTGTTCATTTATTAAGTATTTATTTCATATCTAACATATGGCATGTACTTTTTAGGTGCTCAGAACTAGAGACAGAATTTTAGTGGTAATTGGCCTTAGAGAGAGCTAGATAAGAATTGACTATAAATGTATATATCTTTATATATCTTTAAGGGAAATAGAAACACAGATGTTTTTTGGTGACTCTTCTGCTATGAGAGAGAGAGAGAAAAGTAGTGAGAGAGGGATGCTAAGTATTTAAATGAAGCAGATATAGAAACAAAGGAGAGAATTTCAAGAAAGGGTAAATGGTTATTACAATAACTGAAACTTCAAAGAGGCAGAGGCTACTGGATATAGCAATTAAGAGAATCTTGATTACTATTCTGTTTAATGATAGTGATATCAAGCTTTTAAAAGACTAAAGTTTTCGGGTGCCTGGGTGGCTCAGTCAGTTAGGTGCCTGCCTTCAGCTCAGGTCGTGATCCCAGGGTCCTGGGATCAGTTCCTGCATCCAGCCTCTTGCTCAGTGGGGAGCCTGCTTCTCCCTCTCCCTGCCACTCCCCCTGCTTTTCTGTCTCTCTCTCTCTCTCTGATTAGTAAATACAATCTTTAAATAAAAGATTAGAGTTTTAGGGGTGCCTGCGTGGTTAAGTGTCCAACTCTTCGTTTTGGCTCAGGTTATGATCTCAGGGTCCTGAGATCAGGCTCTACACTCAGCAGGGAGTATACTTAGGACACACTCTCTCTCTGCCCCTCTGTGTTCCCATGCTCTCTCGCTCTCTCTCAAAATAACTTTTTAAATAAATAAATAAAAAGCTTAAAGTTTTAGTGTTAAGAAGAGGAAAATAGAAGTCTTATTATGGGGCACCTGGGTGACTCTATCAATTAAGTGTCTGTCTTTGGTTCAGGTCATGATCCCAGGGTCCTAGGATCGAGTCCTGCACCAGGCTTCCTGTTCAGTGGGGAGTCTGCTTTTCCCTCTCCCCCATCCCACGCTGGTCCGGGTGCTCTCTCTCAAATAAAAAAATCTTTAAAAAAAGAAATCTTATTATGAACAGAAAGAGGATAAAGAAGAGACAGTAAGAGATACATACAGATACTTTTTAGGTAATTTTTGGAATTAGCCAAGCTGCTTCTATTCTTTATAGTTTATATGAGAAAACAAACAAGTAATAATCCAGAAAATTCTTCAAAAGTAGCATGATGAGGAGAGACAATCCCGCTCAGATGTTAAAGATAGTATAAAGCTAACTTGATTTAAATAGTGGGGTAAGAACACATGAATAGACAAGCAGAGCAATTGATTAAATGGAAAGTATAGAAATAGACTCAAATACTTCTGGAAATTTAGCATATAATAAAGGTGTTGTTTTGAGTTAATTTGAGAAAAGTGGATTATTTTATAATAAATGATGTGACAGCTGGTTAGCCCTTTGTATACATATGAAATATTGGATTCTTCCTCATATCTCACACCTTATAGAGCAAAGATTTAATCATGAAAAAATGAAAACATAAAAGTACTAGAAAAAACTCTGGAATTTTTTTCTTTTTAAATTAAAGAAACGAGGACACAAACCTCAAAAGTCATAATGGAAAAGATTATTGACTAAATAAAAAAGAAAAGAGGGCGCCTGGGTGGCTCAGTGGGTTAAGCCGCTGCCTTCGGCTCAGGTCATGATCTCAGGGTCCTGGGATCGAGTCCCGCATCGGGCTCTCTGCTCAGCAGGGAGCCTGCTTCCCTCTCTCTCTCTGCCTGCCTCTCTGTCTACTTGTGATCTCTCTCTGTCAAATAAATAAATAAAATCTTTAAAAAAAAAAAAAAAAAAGAAAAGAAAAAGTTCCATGACACCATAAGGGGTGCCTGGGTGGCTCAGTTGGTTAAGAGTCTGTCTCTTGATTTTGGCTCAGACCATGATCTCAGGGTTGTGAGATGGAGCCAGGCACTGGGCTCTGTGCTGGGCATGGAGCCTGCTTAACATTCTCTGCCTGTCCCCTTCTGTCTTTGCCCTTTAAAAAAAAAAAAAAAAGGAGAACAACAACAAAAAAAACAACACATAAACAGAGTAAAAAGACCAACTCTAAACTATGGAAAAGTATTTATAATTCTATATTACAGATAAAAGATAATGTTAATACATAAAGAGCTCTTACAAACAATTAAGAGAAATACCAACAAGCTGAAGAATATAAATAGGTGATGAGAAAGAAAATACATTGACTCCCAAAATCCTGAACAGATGCTGTTTTTCTTAAAAGGGAATTTTTAGTTAAAACTACACTGAGATACCATTTTTCACTCATTAGATAGACAAAGGTAAAAATACTGATAGTGTTGTCAGTAAGTGAGGAGGAAAAAGAAGTCTCATAAATTGAGTCAAAGTTGATAGAACCGCAAGAAAGCAACTTGTTAGTACTTCTCAAAGTTGCCGTAAATGTGCTTTCTGATCCAGCAATTCTACTTTTAAAAATGTATCCCAAAGACACACCTACCCACACACGAAATGTTCTGTGTACAAGACGAGTACTGGCATTGTTATCTGTAAATACCAAGAGTGAAAATAAGTTAAATCCCCACCAGGAGAGGACTATTTAAAGAAACTCTGATATAATTCTGTGTATAATTTGTAAGTAAAGAAGTATTATCATTATAACACAGAGGTCATGGTGATTTCAATGTAATTTTCCCTCACATGTTAATGCGCTTTGCACCAGGTAATGGTGGCTTCAAGTGCTTCTTTGTGCTACCTACCCCATTGTTAATGACTGCAGCTTGAACATTGCCTGGCATCCTCCAACCACCCTGATTATTGAGGAACCTACAAGCTGGAAACTGGGAAGAGGAATGTCTTAGTTGGTTTCCCCAGAGAAGACCCTCAAATAAGAATCTGAGTACTTTATTTTGGAGGTGATCCCAAGAAACTCTGCTAGAGGGTAGTGAAATAAAAGTTCAGGTCACTACTCAATAAAGAATGAAAAATCAAGTTAGGAGTACTATGTATAAACTCTGCATAACAGTGAAATATAGATGCTTGTGTTATCCAACTTAAATACAGGGTAGATTCACACTGAAACCCATCAGTCTTTGGTTGACAGCTTTTACTTTTTGTTCTTGATCTCTCTACCCTTCTGGCCTGTTGTGTACAAGGGCAGAGTGGCTTAGGAGAAAGTCCTCAGGCTCTGCTAAGCCCCCTGCTACAAGCAAGAAGATGGGATGTATGGTGTAGAAGGGATAGGAAGGCAGAAGAGAAGGATGATATCCACTCTGTAGGCTATAAGATGGGATGAAATGTACTATAAACTATAAGGGGTAACAAAAGCCAAAAGGACTTGGAGAGGGGGAGCTAACTTAGTCTTCAAGTCTGCAAGCTCTCTTTCTTAAGGATAATTCTCCAACATATTTCTCAGCAGCCTAATTTTGCAGAGACTCAGGTGTTTTCACACAGAACTGTTGTAGCAGAAATACTGTATTTGTTGTAGTCATGCTGCTTAAGTGAAAGATGTGAGGCAGAGAAGTGCCTGTACTATGCAGCTGTTAAAAAGGTTTTTAAATGGATCAGCCTTGTATCAGTTATTGGAAACATTTCTAAGATAAATGAAACACACACACCATGGAGTAAAATAATGTGACAATATGCTCAAGAGACAGGTTACTGTCTCCAAAGACTTATGCTATCCTTCCATAAGAATAAATTTGAGTAAGTGCCAAGCCTCCCTTGCATCTAAAAGGACCACGTGACTGTTATTTCCACTGGAGTATGTGCAGAGTGATCTGACTTCTGGGCAAGGTTAAAAAACAGTTATGTCTTCTGTCTTATTTTTCCTCATTTGCTTCTGAAGTGAAGACTTTGAAACCCTGGACTGTGGCAGAACTTGGGTTCTTGAGGCACACATGGAAGGCTACTCAGTGAAAACAGGACTGTTACGTGTAAGTAAACGAACCTTTCGTTTTGTTAAACCACTGAGATTTCAGGGTTTAATTATTGAAGAAGCTACTGTTAACTTAACTGAATAGTGTTTTGCCATTTGAATGTATCTCTAAAATTGAATAGGTAAATATATGGTTCCTTATGTACAGAATGTGATTGAAAGAATACATAAGGAACTAGGAATGGTGGTTCATTTTGGAAGTGGATGATCAGGTTCAGCATATGAAGGAGAGTTACTTTTCATGTTCTCCCCTTTATATCATATTGTTTGTATGAAATAACCAAAAAATAAGGGAAAGATGAATATTTGAACTTAGAAAGAAAGAAAACAGTGGTGGGAATATTAAGGACACTGGAAGAATAAGCAAGTTTTGAAAAAGTAAGTTCCTAGATGCATAAGGAGAAAACTGAGTCTAAGGTGTATAAGTTGACAGCTTGGAAACATAAATCAGTAACAATTCCTTATCATCTGACATGGAAAGTAGCAGAAATAGCAGTTTATATTGTCCATAACAAGAAAAATGCAAGTGAAAACTGTACTGAGACACAATTTATCACTTTCAGATGAACAAAAGACCAAAAGTTTGATAACTCAGTTGGCAAGGCTATGGGGAAATAGACACTCTCATATATCAATCATGAGAGGAAGAAGAATCTGGTAAATTGTACCAAGCAGGTGAACAAGCAGTTCCCCTTCTGGTAATCTATTTTACAGGTAAACCTACAAAGATACAAAATGGCAAAATATGCAAGGTTATTTTTTGTACCATTTTTGGAAATACAAAACTGGAAATAACTCATTGGTCCAATAATAAGGGGTTCGTTGAGCAAACAATGAAACACACATAGACACACACACAAATAAAACCCCATATACCAGTACAGAGATACAAAGATGGCCATGGGGGAAAAGGGAGGGCAGTGGGGGAAAAGGAGGCACAAAGTATAGAGGACTGTGTATTGTATGTTACTTTTTGTAGAAAGAGTAGAAAAACAGGAAGACCTATATATAATGTGTTTCATTGTATTTTGTGAAGAAACCAGAAAGATAAATAATAAACTAGTAACAAAATGGTTACCATGGTGCCTGGATAGCTCATTCAGTTAAGTATCTGCCTCTGGCTCAGGTCATGATCTTAAGAGTCCTGGGATCAAGCCCCATGCGCCTGCTTATCCCTCTCCCTCTGTCACTCTCTCTGTTTTTGTTCTCTCTCTCTCAAATAAATAAAATCTTTTAAAAAATGGTTATCTATAAGGGGGTGAGTTGATAAGAAATATGGAAATATCAAGAATGGGAATGAGATTTCTTTATTATGTATTTTTATATAGGATTGACTGTTTAAAACTTTTTGTTATATACAGGAATAGAGAGTAGAATAATGAAACTTAAGATTTATCACCCAGCTCCAGCAATTATAGATGACCCATCTAATTATAGATGCCCCTAACCCCTCAGTAGGTTATTTTAAAGTCAATCTCAGACATATCATTTCATTTGTAAATATCCATGTATATTTCAGTGTGTATCTTTAACATAGAAACTATTTTTTAAATCATTATCACACTAAAGATTATAATTTCTTATATATAAAGGAAATTTAAAGAACATCTAATTAGAGTACATTTTTTTTAAACATTACCTCAAACCAGGATCATACATTGTATTTTTTTTTTGTCATATCTCTTAGACCATTTAATCTGGAATTATGTCTCTGTTATGTATTTGATGTTTTTTAAGGAGTATAGGCTAGATATTTTGAATGATATCCCTCAGTTGGGTTTGTCCAGTGTTTTCTCATGATTAGATTCAGGTTACAAACTTTTGGCAGAGATATCACAAAAGTGATGTATTTTTCTAAGTGAATTGTCTTTGGAGGCACTCGATGTCTTGTTATTCTGTTACTGTTGATGTTATCTTTATTTGGTTTAGGTAGTAGCTGGTAGGTTTCTCCATTGTAAAGTTACTTTTTTCTCCCATGTAATTAATAAGAATTCTGAGGGAGACAATTTGAGGCCAGAGAGATACCTTATTCCTTACAAAGCTTTCACCTAATTGTAACATATATTGGTATTTTTTGCCTGAATCTGTTATTGCTATGCTGTTTGCCAAATAGTGACATTCTAACTCTGTTATTCCTTCTGTATTTATTAGTTGGTGTTCTACTCTAAAGAAAAACTTCTCTCCAAAGTAAAAAATAAATTTATATCAGTTTATATAGGCTTATATTTCTCATTATTTCAGTGCTTATACTGTCCCAAATTTTGCCAGTAGAACCCTCTTCAAGCTGGCTCTTGTGTCTCCTTTAGTGTGTCCAGCACTTTTTCTTTTTATCGCTTCCTTGCTTTCTGATATAACAAGACATTCCAGGTTCATCTTATACATTCCTTCCCTCAGTCCTACCATAAGCCATTTTGCCAAGGAAAGTTTCTTGAAATACTTGAAATCAAGATCTGCATACTAAACCTATTTATTATTGTACAATTTTCAGTTCTTCTAGGCCCAGTGTTGACTTTTGAATCACGTATGTGTATTACCCTTTTAAAAATTGTAATTTAAAAATTTAGACCTCAAATACACCTGATGTCACAAAAAGGATTGTAAAGCCAGTGAGTACACCATTAGGAAGATTTAATATAACACTTGAGGATGCAGACTTTGGAGCTGGTTAGCTCTGCATTCAAGTTTACTACCACCAGCTACTAGTTTTATAATTTTTTTTTATTTTATTTACCTGCCACTTGGAGATGAGCATATATACCTCATTAGGTTGTTGTATGGATTTAGTGAGAGGTAAAACTGGTCATCTTCATGTGACACATAACATACATTTAAATATAGCTATTGCTTTATTAACAATTATATTAATACTTAGCACAGTATTGAACATTATATTGAAGAAGTATTTGTTGAGTTGAATTATAATGCTTTTCTCCCTTTATAAGATACACTTCTAGATTCATTGGTAATGAAATGTTCCTGAGCATTCCCCAAGAGCAGGAAAAAATATGGAGTGTAGTAACTTTTAGTCATGGGAACAACAACAACAACAGCAGCTAAAAACTGGAGTTACTTTTCAGCTGTAGGATGTTCTGAGTTGATAAAAACTTGAGTTAACAATACTTAGATCAGAGTTGTTAGACAAAGACAAATAATTTATGAAAGCCATTTATTCTAGGTTAATCCTATACCTGCCTTATTACTAAATTTCCTCAGGTCTACTATTAAAGTATTTTATACTTTGCTACTTTAGGAGTACAGGATGAAAGTGAGAAACAGGAAGAATAACAGAATATTGGATTTAATACAATAATAGAACTCATGCAATTTAGCATAGAGAGGAAGAGAATGTTCTTGTAAATTAGATTTGCAGCTCGTTCATACTTGTAATATAGAAGTGTTCAAATTGAGTCTCAAGTTCAGGAAGACAGAAAGTTGACTGCTTTTGCAGTCACAACTATCATATTTTCTTATTCTCCAATAGTTAGGAACCATTTTATATTCAAAATACAGAAGCAGTCACTTATGGAACTACTATTATTGTCACTAATAATCACTTCTACCCTGCCATATCAGAAGTTTGTTCAGTGTTTTGGATAGGGAAACAGAAGGCAAGCCAGGACAACTATGATGGTGGCTAGTCACATATACTATTGCAAAGAGCAGGGCTGAAGAAGGACCTTTTCCTTCAGCATAACTCTCTATATTTCATAACCTTTCCCCATGATTATTTGAACCAGGGGGAAGAAAAAGAACAATCCTAAATTATAAAACGATTGCCAACATGAATCAGATATTTCTCTTTCTTCTCATTTCATGGTTTATCTTAAAAGAATGTATGTTCTTGGGGTGAGTGGGTAGAGTATGTGCATGTGTGTGCACATGTGTGTGCACTTTAGAAATAAGGAATACAGAAAATATAAAATTGTGATGGATGGCCAAAAGCTTTTTGTTGTTGTTGTTGTTGTTTTCTATAGGCAGAGAGGCAAAACAATGGAAGGGAACTGAGGTAGCTGTCATATGAGAATTATGTAATAACTGCATTGGGATTTCATATATATTCTTATAGTTTTTAAAAATAAGTGAGTTAAGATATTTTTATATTCTATATTTCCTGAGCAGCATAGTAAAGATTAATGAATAATTGTATGACACCTTTAGGTATGCAGCTAAATGATATTAAATAGTTACTGCTACTGTAAAAAGACATTGCAACATGGCATAAACTTGTGGCAACATGAGCAGCTATTCTCAGAAGACTAGTATATGTTTGTTACTCCTCCAAACTTTTCAGTGATTACTAGTGGATATTTCAACTTGGACATATAAAACCATAAACTAGATTGAATTGTCTTAGTACAAAAAATTTTCTTAGGGGAATGTTCAAGTTTTCAATTTTCATTGTTTTTTAGAATCTAACGGTTACTTCATAGTTACTATTTCTTAAAATAGAGAACAAATATTAAGATGAAGTCCTTTATCTTTCTTTATTCCTTATACTGACCCAAACTGTAATAGTTTTAATAGTTTTAACTATGATGCATGTATGATAACTTAAACCATACCTCACTACCACCATTTTCTGCTGTACCAATACAGAAACAACACTTAGTGCCCCAAATAGACTGTGCTCTTTTACTCTTTTTACTGTTTGCTCTCTGAGGAACACCTGATTCCTAGGATCTCCCTTGTTTTATTCCAGGCGATATTTACTTGACTAACTTCAAGACAGCTTACAAACAACCTCTACTAGAAAGATTTCCCTGACCACCTTCCGCTATCCATGGGCTTTCTCCCCATTACCACCATGGCTGGGGGGTTGCCTCAACTTTTAGTTCCCATAGCACTATGTACTCACTGGTTTCATTTCTCAAAGCATATTGAACAATAGATTTTTGGGTTCATAGGAGACTATATTGCACCTTTTTAAAATTTTTCCTATTTTATTAAGATATAAGTGACAAAAAACATGTTATTTTAAGTGTGAAAAAGTATAGCCACTATATAGTAATCCACTAAGGATATGTGCAAAACATAAAGCCTTTTAAAAACTACCTTTTAAATGCATACATAATGAATTCAGGGAACATGTCTGTATGCAGTATGAAATGATAATATGCACAGTATCAGGTATGAATTTCATTATCTTTCTGTATTGTGAAGAACATGTAAAGCACTTTTTAAATGGCAAAGTAAGGATGTCCAAAAATCTAGTCCTCCATTAACTCAGTAAAACTCTGCCAAAAAGATCAACTTTTTGAGACTTGGGAGTTTAACCAAAGGTTTGTCACAATCTGAGCAACACTTAATAAAGAAAAACAGCTGAATCTGAGGAATGAGATGTCTATAGGAGACTTTGAAAATCTTGAGTATGCTCCTGTAAACCCAGAAAGCTACCTGCATGTACAGGCTTTTGGCAGGCCCCAGAAATACCTAAGCAAATCTTAAGATTTTGTCTGTTTGGTCTTGATACTTTGTATGAACAGGAAATATAGAAGACAGTAGTAGAGGAATACAGAACAAAAGAGCTATGTGACCTATTGAAAGCAAATGGGCAAGTGTTGAATGTAAATACTGTTATTGGTAATTACTTGAAACATAAGAAATTAAACACTCCCAACAGAGATTTGCAGAATGGATTAAAAAAAATAATCCCACCA